AACTCTCCATACAATTTTGTTGTGCGGTGACGTCATGCGCGAGTCGGTTCCAAAGTTGTTCTCGAAGTGGCTTTATCTTGTCGTAGTACTTACCGAAACAGTGACTCCAGAGGAATTTGGTAGATCGCAATTTAAAAATGTATTAAAAAGATTCAACATTTTGTGAAAATTGTTATTAAAAAACCATTTAAAAAGGCCCGACTTTTTAGTTTATGAATATTTATAATGACTTTCATATTTTTTATGTTACGCGCTGATAAGTAGGCTTACTGAAAAGATGAACAAACACAATCTAAAAAAATAACTTTCTATCAACAATAGGAAACAAGATGGCAATTTTTTTCTTAAAATCATATTTTGATTTATTATAATATTAACAGCTAAAAACTGAAAAGATTATTATAAACGAAGATCTAAATTTTATGATCCATTTTATAGATGGCAATACCGAGAAGAAGTAAAAAGGTATAACAAGGTATATAAATGTAAGGTTATTTTTAGAACGAAACTTCAAATTGAAACGCTAAGAAATGTGCTATTTTCATAACCCCCGGAAAAATCAATTAGTGTAACTAGTTGTAAGAAGAATATGTGAACACGCCTTGAACTACTAAGTCACAGTTCGACAGTTAAGTTAAACTCATTACAAGAACAATGTAGTCATGGCAATGAATTGTTTTTTTTTATTACAGCTTAGTCAGCTTTTGTTTGTAACTATGTATTTTTTGGAGTCAGTGCTTATTTTGTTAATTACACTTTCACATTAATAACAATTTCCCAAAGTTTGTTTCCCAAACAATTTTTTCACAATTTCCCATCATCTTGCAATTGGCTTCCCAGCGTAAGGCCTTCTCAACACAAATATTCGTACCTTTTGTGATAAGGAAAAATACTCTTAAACTTGTAATAGTGTTGTTTTGTGAATTTAAGTGCATAAAAGTAACCTATTCTTACCAGATTCAAGAGTGTGTATACTCTTTCCAGTTGAATATCCCTTTAAACTGCCATGTTGTGATACTTTTTCCATATTCTGGTTTATTTGTGCTATATTAATATCTATCTATCTATGTAATTCGCCTTCTTCGGTCCATCTTTGGACATAGGCCTCCCCAAATATTATTAATATCAGTTTGGACTATTACGTGATTTGGATATCATCTAATGAGCAAGTATAAGCTCAGAAGGCTTCCAAGTTTACATAAACTTCAGAACTTAGCTCATAATCAACAAACTATTTGACCATAGTGAATCATCTATCATCATCAATCAGCCAATCGCGTCCACTGCTAGACATATGCCTCCCTCAGTTCTTTCCAGTGTTCTCTACACTGGGCCGCTTGTAGCCAGTTTCCCGCTACACGGTTTATATCATCGGTCCATCTAGTCGGTGGTCGTCCTCGGCTTCTTTTATAGTTTCTGGGCCTCCATTCCATAATACGTCTTGTCCACCGTCCATCTTGTGTTCTGGCTAAGTGCCCTGCCCAGTTCCATTTAAGCGTCGTGGTTCTTTCGATGACGTCTTGAACTCCTGATCTTTGCAGGATTTGTTGGTTTGTTATGTGGCCTCGAAGGCTTACGTTCAGCATTGAACGTTCCATGACTCGTTGTGTAACTCTGAGTTTATTCGCAGATTTTTGTGTGAGTCTTAAAGTCTCTGCTCCCTAAGTTTGTACAGGCAAAATACATTGGTTATAAACCTTTCGCTTGAATCATCTATAACCATGCAAAAAGACGAAGCTCCTGTTCCATGTGCTCCTATAATGATGGTCAACGAGTAATTTCAAAGTTTAATTGCTAGCTTGACACAAGGTGTCCAAAATCAAGCCCAAAGCCCTACTAAAAGTAGAAAAGTTTTCAAATAGTTCTGGCAATAAAATAAAGATGTGGAAGCATTTATAAGTGCCCTTACGATTTTTAAAACTCTGTTAACATTTCAGATGAAAATGCAATAAAAAGTTTGACGATGTTCTTAGATCATCATGCTGTAATTTGATGGCAAGGTATTCAATCCACAATCTTTAGTTGGGATGGTGTTTTAAAGGCTTTAAGATGCTCTTATGGTTTAAAAACATTACCACAAAAATTTTTTAAACAAATATTTTCCCGTGAGTAAGGTGAGAGAGAACCAACAGATATTATCGGTAATTCTTGTAGTGCTCTCATTGCTAGGTTGGTAAAATCTCCTGAACTACACATATCTCATCAAATTGATATATTATTATTGCATTACTCAATCATAGAATTATAAATAGACTTCAGAGAGATTAAATTAATCTTTTGCTGATCTTATAGAAAAAGCAAGAACAATCCAAGATACTTTTAAAGATAAGGCTAAAGATAAAGTTAATACATTATTTGGACATAAACCTTCTGGAATTGATGACTGCAAATCTACTAGATCAAGACCTATGACAGTTTGACAGTAAGATAAATATCGTAAATTCGCCGCAACTCAATAAAGAAATCATTACAGCTTTTCTCAAGTTGCAAATGGATCTAGAATTACATGCTACGAATGCGGAGCACCTGAAGTATAAGGTCCGAATATCCTACTTGTCACAGTTCGAGCAATAAACCCACTTCTCCAAATGAATTATACCACTCTACATTTCAAGTCTAGATGTGCTTTTCACATATCTTTGTGCAGTACACCTCATGTCTAGACCTTTGATCGAAGTTGATATTGTTGGAAGGTATGAGTTAGTATATAAACGATTCTGGAGCTAGAAATACAATTTAAGGAAATATTTTATTCAATCATTTTTGTTCAATAAATGTATCCTTCAAAAAGACCGAGTTAAATACGACTAGCAGATGGATATGTACGCCAGGTACAAGCTAGAATTTATTTAAGCTAGGGTAGAACTAGAAGAAAGGAAGACTCCCACTACTTTCCTTGCAGTATCAGAGCACGAAAATAATAAAACAGTCTTTGGTACAGACTTCATTTCAGATGCTCAAATGGTGTTACATATACCTAAATCGCAGTGGTTCTTTGAGGATGATCCCTTACAAACTTTTTTAAGGAGCAGATCCAAGATACCTTTTGTGCAATTTTTCAGACTTCAATTGAACCAGTTAATTTAAACACATTTTACAGTTTTTGAAAAGAGTAAAGATCAAACCCCAAATGCTGAATGTAGTATGCAGTTAACAGATGATAGTCAAATTTTTTAACCTCCTTATCGTCTTGCACCTACTCAGAAGAAAATTCTGCGTTCTTTATTGGATGAACTTCTAAAAGATGAATCATTGAAGAATGTGGGTTGTCCTTATGCATTCCCAGTGGTGTTAATTCCAAAACCTATTAGAAATATGAGACTGTGTTGATTATAGGCGTTTAAACAATATTACTGTTGCTATTCAATATCCATTACCTAGAGTTGATGATTTACTTTATTTTACAGGAGAGAAGACATATAAAACAGGATAAAACAAACACATAAAACATCGTTTATCACTTTTTTTGCTACATATAGGTATAATGCTATACTTTTTAGATTAAGGACAACACCAGCTACATTTCAACGGCTTATTGAACGTTTCAAATCAGGCTTACCACATATCTTCATACTTGCTTATTTAAATCACCTCATAATACTGTCTTCTACTTTTGAAAGCCCCTTCAACTATTTTAATGAATTTCTAAAAGATATACAAATTTTTAAACTTGCACGTTATTCGTACCAAATGTGTTTTCAGCAGCTATAAGGTAAAATATCTTGGATATACTGTTAATGAGGATGGTTTTACCCCCTGACCAGATAAGATAGCTGCAATTAAGGACATGGACAAGGTTCTTAGCTTTCTACAAACATGCTCTTGGTTCCGAAGATTTGTACCAAAATATCCACAATACTCACTCGCAAGAGATCTACTTGGGAATAGGGTTCCTCCCAAAAAAATGCCTTCACCTAATTGAAACGGCCATTGACTCACTCCCCTATACTGTGTCAGGCTGACCCTACGAACCCATTTATCATTAAAATTGACACTAGTTCATATGCATTAGGAGCAGCTTTACTGAGAGGGAGGGTCGCGAAGGAAGGTCAGTAGAATATGCAAGATGTTTACTGACTGTTTCTCAGAAGAATTACGATACAACAGAACGTGAGGCGTGTGCTGGCAGTTGTATGGGCTTTTTCGAAATTTCATGAATACATAGAGTCATCCCCTGTCATTGTTAAGAGTTCTCACCAGCCCTTACGCTAGCTTATATCATTAAAGAGACATTAGACAGCTATCTCAAATTATCTTTGTTAGAATCTATGGAAATTAACAAATTAAAAAACACAGATATAATTCTGAATGACCAACTTGAGATAAACAGTTCTCCCCTCCTCAACCTATTTCATTAAAGACTATAAAGTGTAAACGCATTCCAAAAATAGTCGAAACAGCTGGGGAAAGCTGTTCCCGAGAAAGAGAAAAAAAAACAAACTTCACAATTTTGTGGAAGTTTTTTGAAAACAAAGTTTTAACGCTCCTTTCATATTACACGATTTCACTCGTGCGGGAAAAAAATCGCCCGATTTTTAATCGTGATTTTGCTACTTTCACATTGAACGATAAAAATCTTACATTTTTATCAATTCATCGGAATATTTGGTCTGGTCTGGATGAAAATTATGGATCGCGAACAAGTTATTGCGTTATGGATACTGTATCGGCCTCGAAAAAGACAAAGGCGCAATCGCCTTCACTGGATTCACCCAATTAATCAGAGACGAGAGGAAGTCGGGATGTTCCAGACATTATTTGAAGATCTTAGAAACGATGACCAAAAGTTTTTCAACTACTTTCGTATGTCAGTTCGCTCCTTTGATGAGTTACATGGGAAACTGAACAGTGTTCTACAACGACAAAACACGCAGTTCAGAAACTGTATACAACCTGTTGAAATGCTGGCAATATGTTTAAGGTAAGCATAATATTACAGTAGTAGGTAATATAATAAAACCTTTTGAATAAGCAAATATACTTTATTTAATTTTAATCACTCAAAATAGATCAGACATCGAGGAATCTCGTGAAGCCGAAATAGACGGACTATGGTCAGTTTCAGTTGCTGAAGAGTCGCTGTAACTAAATTCCTGTAGGTACTGGGATGCGGATGCTTTATCCAGTTCGGATTGTGAATCTGATTGTTTAGGCGTTGATTGCTGCGTTGGCCTTGATTGATTTTGCTGTTCACGTACATATTGAGAAAAGTGAAGCTGTTGTGCGCTATTTTTAACGTAGCCCGAAAAACTAGGATTTGCATATTGTTGAGATTTAAATGGAGGTTGTTGAACATGGACAAATGCTTGCGGTTGGTTAACGGGAGATGGCTGAAGCATGTACTGAGGTTGTGGTTGATAAGAGGGCACAGAAGAGGGGTTGTTTGATTGAAGATGAGGAGTTTCCTTTAGTTTGTTTATGTTTTCTATTACGTTTAACACTCCCACTTGAAATTGAAGGAATTCACTGTTGGAATAGTTTGTCAAATGAGGCATTAAACTCTGAAGGAAGGACATTTTACTGCAGGGCGTTTTATGTTCCAGAGCTTTGAGCATTTTCACCTCAACCTCATCTAGTTTCTTTCGTTTCCTTGTTCCTACGGGCTTGGATGGCAGGTTTACGTTGGTAGAAACTTCAGGTTAACCAGTGGTGCCTTCAGGCTCTTCATCTTCTTCGAGTGTTCCTGGTAACAATTTCTGGGTTGAAGCTGTCTACCGTTTCTTTTTCGGTGTAGATCTTATTCAAAAATTGAAGTTGGTCTGAAAACACATATTTCTTACGTTTTTTAGCCCCAGATCCACTTTTTTTTAGCAGATTTGTCATCTTTTTTCGATTTTGCGAAACAATCTCGGAGATTAGTCCACCTTTTCACTACTTCTTTCCCTGTAAAAAACAAAAATAAAATAAATTAATACAATCAATTCAGTATGATAATTATTAACGACAATGTTCACTTTATTTCAGATATTTGGCGAGTGGCTGTATGTTTACGGATTTGCACTACAGCTACAGAGTTAGAATTTCAACAGCAAAAAAACATAGTTGAAGAAGCATGTGCTGCGATTTGGTCAGAAATGCGAGAAGAGTGTATACCGACACCAACTTGTGATATGTGGCAGTCAGTTGCTTCCAACTTTGAAAGTATCGCAAACTTCCCTCACTGCCTTGGAGCTGTGGACGGTAAGCATATAGGACTGACTTGTCCGTTTGACTCAGGATCAATGTATTTTAATTACAAAGATTACTTCTCTATTGTCCTTATGGCTGTAGCAGACACAAAGTACAGATTTGTTTACGTTGATGTAGGGAGCTATGGTAAAGAGCGTGACTCGTCAATATTTAAGAGGTCCAAATTGTAGAAATCAATAGACAGTGGTTCTCCACCATTACCTGAGGAAAAACTTCTTCCAGGAACAGAGAGTCCTAAAATACCATACTTCTTTGTTGGAGACGAAGCATTTGGCTTACACAGACATCTACTGAGACCCTTTGGAGGGAAACGCTTAACAGTTGAAAAAAGGGTCTTTAATTATAGATTGTGCAGAGCACGAAGATATGTGGAATGTGCGTTTGGCATCCTGAGCAATAAATGGCGTATATTCCATCGCCCTATCAACGTTCAGCCACATTTCGCAGTGCTCATCGTCAATGCGTGCATCGTATTGCACAATTATGTACGTGACAGAGACGGATATCTTGTTGAGGACACAACGACGATCACAGGCCTGGAAGATGTATCAGGAGAAAGCACTACACGAAGAGGCTTGGAAGCAAACAATATCAGAAGTGTGCTTACCTCATATTTTTTGACAGAAGTCGGAAGTGTATCCTGGCAAATGTCTAAAGTATAATTTGTCATATATGTGAAAATAAATAAATAAATAAAATAAAAATAAAAAGTGTCTCTGTTGTAGATAGTAAATCAAGTGAAGTATACAATACATACAACACCAATATACAATAAAAAATACAATATACATACGTCCAAAAAGTAAGTTTACTTTGCTTAATACAAAGTTAATAAGTATAGTACTTACCAAATGCATTTTTTTCTCCATCGCCATTGTTCTCTAAATCCGGATTGAGTGCTAAACATACTTCTTCCCAGGCTTTCCTTGTTGCATTTCTATCCTTACAAATTTCTAAAGTTTTGTCCCATATCACAGGTTTTGCTTCAACTAGGGATATTAACACTTCAGCGTCAACACCTTCCATAATTTGCAAACAAACCACCAAAACTGAACGCGGTAGAAACAATACTGGGGACAGTTCCCGTACGACTAAAGACCGTCTAGTGTGAAAGTGTGCATTTGGTCACGTAGGCCACTGAGATAGAGGGCGATACGGTAGCCGTGCGGTTCTAGTAGCACTGGACGGCTGCAACACGATTACAAAACGTGCCCGTGTTCTAATCGTGCAATGTGAAAGGTCTCGTAATCTTCAACAGTCGATCAAGAAAAATTGCCCGGGCGATTTTTTCCCGACGAGCGAAATCGTGTAATGTGAAAGAAGCGTAATTGTTTTATTGTTACATATATGGATTTTTCTTTCTTTATTATTTTTATGTTTATTTTAGGATATCTTCATATTCACAAAAAACCAAATCTCAGTCGTTTAATATAAATTCATTACGAAAAGACCTAGTTTTTTGATTTGTCTCATTATAAAGCATCCTCAAGAAAAACAAACTAAAAAAAAGGTTAGTCTTCGTAAGTGGGTATATTTATTTAAAAACCCTTAAAAGGGCTACATCAAAAAAACAAACGTTTTCGGACTAAACAGGTCCGAAACATTATTTTGATAATTAAAAAAAATTGTTTGAATCTTTTGGCTGTAGTAATAGTAGGTATAACTAATATAGTTCCATGTTACATTGACATTTTGTTTTTGACACCGTTCATAGGTATATTGTAAATCAGTTTCCAGCTGTTCTCCGTGCGTAGAGGTTTACTCCCCGGTTCTGGAACTCAATCTTACAATGTATGTTACCTGAAGTCATATTTAATTTAATACTGAACATCACAGTTTTTTAACAAGATGTATAATCTTTTATAACTATATGTAATTTAAAAGGGTTTTTACCCATGTATTTTGGTGGCTCAGGCATTTTAACCTAGTAAGTATAGCCATTTTTGCTTTTTACCATAGTCAAAATTTCATAACTACGTTTATTTTAACTAAATGGTTTATACTTATTTTAGGCGATTTTAAACCTGATGATGGACTGTTTAGTCCGAAAACGTTTGTTTTTTTGATGTAGCCCTTTTAAGGGTTTTTAAATAAATATACCCACTTACGAAGACTAACCTCTTTTTTTGTGATACGTGGTATACAGCCAGCTACAGGAATTGTTTTCCTTGTGGATTTTGTTAAAAGCAAACTGTAGATACCTCTAGAAGATATTTAATATGATCGATTCATAAAGTTCTTAAAAATCTTGTTATGAAAAACTTATTCTATTCTCTTATACCTCCTCAATGATTGTCCATAAATTATCATCTGTGAACTCTCCTAACGGATCTAAATTATATCTCACAGTATTGGTAAATAAAACAGGATCCTGTGGTATTATGGATACACGTTTTCTTAATATTTCCAATGGTATGGTCCTTGTATCCACTCCATTGATTAGTACTGATCCATTAAATTCGGAAAGTCGAAGTAAAACATTAATCAAAGAAGATTTACCTGCTCCTGTTCTTCCAACGACCCCGACCTAAAACAGTAGTTAAGTTAGTAAGTCTGTTGACTACAGATTTCTTCTAATTTGTTTTGTCTTGAAAAAATATTAAATATGATTTTATTATTTAATTGACTTGACAATTTAATTGGTGACTGTATTGATCTTAGGAGGAACGTTAAAATCTATATCTATATCAGTAAAAATTAATCGCCAAAATGTCTGTACGGGCATCACTTTAGAACGACTGCACCAAATTAGATATTTCTCTTTTTTTGTTGTGTTCAGGAGAAGGTTTGTGTAATTTTCAATAAATTGTACGGAAAGACCTTAAAAACAGTTTTTTTTGTCATTTTAAATCGAAATATAACTAATAGATGGCGCCACACTATGACTAACAAAGGCAGCTATGATTAACAAAATAAATAGTCCTTTATTTAATAAAAGCACATCTATTTTTACACATACGCATGCACAGTTGTGCGTACGTTATTACTGTGCTTTAATAAAATAAATACCGCCTGTATTTAAATTAAATACAAACCAGAGAACTTTTATTTACAGATTCCTTATTTTGAGATAATCTGTCAAATTACGTTTGGAAAGAAAAAGACGTCTAACTTTACTTATATTTATATAGATATTGATTAAATCTGTTGTATCCTTTATTTTATGTAATGAATATTGTTTTTACCATTATGCTCAAGTCATCAGAGACGAAAATGCTACTGAACCTACCACTAAAAATCATACGAACAAGCTGAATTTTGCCGAACGGGAAAAAATCGATTTACCAAGAATCAGTACCCATAGAAAAAATGTTGCAAATAAAAAATGTAGTTGAGATAATTTTGAACAAAGACGTTTATTAGCATTTTTTGTGTAGAATGAAACGTTCTTTCAGAAACAACGATTGAAGCGATTGGCGATTTTGCGGTCAATAAGAATGAGCACTCGTCAATTTTAAGTGTGCGTCGTCGACATGAACAAAGTTTTAGTTCGTACCGATTAAGCGAAGTGTTTGTATGTGTCTTGAGCATTTTAGGCAAATAAACACCGATAATAACGTTATTAGGTAGAGGTAATGGATTTTGGGAACGGCTATGACCTTGAACATTTCACATAAATGTAATGTGAGCGTAGCAAGTGAGTGAGAAGTTGGAAAAAAGGGCTAAGTAGCATAGAAAAGATAATAATTATTCGAGATGATTATTATATATTCCAAATCAAATAAGGGATAATTATTACAGTAAAATTTGCATTTTAAATCACACAAAGAAATTGACCTAGTTATTGCATTGTTTGATAATTGTTTAAACGTATAAAAAGCACGTTAAACAGAAACTATTGTTGTAAAAAAATAACAACACCCGTGAACCAAATAGGAGTAATAACGCCAAAACTACAACTCAGCGAAACCACGACCTTGGTACTAGAACCGGCGTTGAAAGTACGAGCACAATAAAACAAGAAAAAACGACGGTAGCAGGCAGTTGGTAATGGGCAGTCAGTGATAGCTGGGCACCGTGGCTGGACGCGATAGCGTCCAGTACGCGATCAGTACGGGCAGTCAGTAATAGAAGTCAGTGGTAGTAATACGGCGGAAGCGGTCCGTAGTAGCGGGGCAGCTGTGCCTGCCGAGGCAGTAATTGCCTCCGGGAGCGTCCAGTACGGGCAGTCGGTAATTCTCCGGGGAGCGCTTATCATCCGGCCTAGTATTGCGCGTAGTCCGGTTATTGTGGCAGCTCGTAAGTCCGTAACTCAGGAGGAGACCCTCAACTGACCGAGTTCCAGAGGACCGAACGTGTCGTGGTTGAAAGCCCTAATACACACATAAGGTAACAGATTTCTTTATACTAACCTGAGTAATTATATTAGTACAACTGTCAACTCTTTACTATCTTGCTTCATCGTCTCCCGACGCGCAGAATAACGTGTTAACGATTGTATTTGTAACTTCAGGGTAGATTCAATATATTGTTGACTCTAAATTGGTTTTTTTTAATGTTCCTTTCGTCCGACTCACTAGAGACTAGGAGAACACGAGATTCTGCGTATGCATATCTCCGGCTTCAAAAGTAAGCCCATAACCTCTGCTCTTTACAGGACCTGAGACCTAGGAGTCCTTACCCCTATCCCGAAATCCCTTATTTCTCGTAAATCCACGAAGACGAGCCAGCCCTCCAGACCAGTGTGACCAGTATTCCTTGCAGCCGCTCGCAGGGTTAGCATCCCTTGAGGATCTATTGTGTATTACATTTGGTGACAGCGTTTTCCTTACCTTCACATAACGCTCCTATTCCTATTTCTTTACATAAACTTGGGTACTAAATAGGCATAATGCATAGCTCTTGTTAAAATCCAATACATTAATAATATAATTACATATCTTCGATTCTAAAATATTGTAAAATACTTTAAAGAGTCTGGGTAAGAAAAAATATTGAGTTATATTCTTTGTAGCATTTTCAAGGTCATAGCTGTTCCCAAAATCCATTAACTCTAACTTAAATTAGTTTTATCTATTTTTTTACTATATTTTGAAATTTTTGATATTGTATACAAGTGTAGTTTGTAAGAATTTCGCGGTAATATTTTGTACCGATGTAGGCTGCACGAGCATTTATTAAGACATGCTCGTTTTCTACAAGTGCGCAGTCAATAATATTGTAAGAGTACACACGCACTCTTATAAACGATTTTTTTTTATAACGGATTAACCGTATTTTTTCTTTTGTTTAAGCATGTCTGGCAAAAAACGAACTTCTCAGCGTGTTTTATGCTCACCGGTGGTTATGGAGGCAGCAAGAAAAAGTGTTGACAATGGAGAAAGTAAGAGAAGCGTGGCAAAATCTATAGAAATGGCGGAAAGTACGTTAAGAAAAAGGCTAAAAAGAACAACTTTAGCTACAAAGTTGGGAAGATACAACATTACTTTAGCAGCAGAAATGAAAGAAGAGTTGTGCAACTATAGAAAAACAATAGACAACATGTTTTATGGGCTAACTTCTAGAGCTCTAAGAAGTCTAGCGTTTGAGTTCGCTAAAATAAATAAATTAGAACATCGTTTTGATAGAACTTCAAAAATGACAGGCAAGGGCTGGCTACGTGGATTTTTAAAACGATACAAAGATGTTAGTTTGAGGCAACCCACCGTTACTAGCGTCGCCAGGACTATTGGGTTTAATGAACCACAGTGTAAACGATTTTATGAAAATCTCTCGAAGTTAATGAATACATATAAATTCCCGCCACATGCAATTTACAATATGGATGAATCGGGATTTTCCACTGTCCCAAACAGGGCTCCTAAAGTTTTGTCTATAAAAGGAAAAAGGTGTGTCAATAAAATATCTAGCCAGAACGGGGAACTAATATTACTGTTGTATGCACAATGAGTGTTAGTGGACAATATATTCCTCTCGCATTTATATATCCACGTAAAAGAATGAAGACAGAACTTTTGGATGGAGCTCCACCATAATCAGTTGGAATGGTATCCGACAGTAGTTTCATCAATCAAGACCTGTTTGTTGATTATGCTACAAATTTTAGAGATCACGCTAAGCCGACAAAGAACAACCAGTCCTATTGATAATCACACTTCCCATTGTTCCATTGCAGCAATTGATTTTTTTCGACAATATAAAATTATCGCATTAACACTTCCTCCTCATAGTAGTCACCGTATGCAGCCACTTGACAGATGTTTTTTTAGCCCGCTAAAAAAGTTTTATTCAAACGAATGTGAAAAATGGCTGACGAACCATCCAGGGCGGGTAATTACGGTTTACCAAATTGCTTCAATATTTGCTCCTGCATACTTTAAAGCTGCTACTATAACGAATGCAATTGAAGGTTTTAAAGTGACGGGGATATGTCCCTTTAATAATGACATATTTACTGACGCTGACTTCATGGCCACTTTTGTCACAGAACGAGAAGAACCTGCTACAGCTGCAGTAACTACGGAACTAGAAGCGTTTAACGTACAATCAGGAGTCGCTAAAAACTCTACGTCTGAAATCGATATTCAAACACATCAAATGTCTGAATCAGCCTCTGAAAATACTCCCAATGTTCTTGACAGTCCAACTATTGTTCTTGAGAATTCCACTACTAAGGAAAATATTCATGTTAATGAAAGAGATGCCATAATTAGCGAAATACCTACATCTGAATCCGATTGTAGAGAGAAGGATTTTACAGATCAAAAACAATACCCCTTAGCTTACAGATCTGGTTTCCAACACATCTGCAATAACTTTGGAAGAAAAAGTTGATATAGCTCAGAAACAAAAACATTTGATTTATCAAACACTCCTGGAACATCATCAAGTTATATTAAATTAACAACCATGTCTCCGTTACCTAAATCAATTGTGGTTAGATCCAGAAATATCAGAAGCAAAAAGTCAGAAATTATCACCAGCTCTCCATATAAGGACCAACTAATTGAAGAAAATGAGAAAAAAAAGCCGCAATACAAACTCAAATGGATATTGGCGATAACCTATCACCATCGCAAGCGCTTCTGGGAGAAAGTTTAAAAAGGCAATTTGCATTGGCAAAAGAAGCATTATCAAGCGGAGAAGCCATAGACAACAATATTCTACCGGTGTCAGATATAGATGTATATAGTAAACATCGGCTCAAATTAAAATGGCAAGCCAATTATACGGAATCCGAAAGACAGTCATCATTTAAATATTGGCAACCCACACTTCTTAAAAAAAGGTGGTTTTATTCAGAGTCCAACAGAAGTTTTATTAAAACTATTAATAGGCTAAGGTCAAATCATGCTCTAACACCTTCAAGAATGTACAAAATGGATCTAGCAGACACTCCAAACTGTACTTGTGGTAAATATGGAGATTTAACACATATCCTATTAGAATGTGTAAACCAACAAGGAAATATTACATGTTTTTATGAAAACTTACGAAAACTAAATGTCTGTTTCCCATTTCACATAAATGAATTAATTTTCTCTGGAAACTTAGAAATCTTTAATTGTATTTATCAGTTAATAAGAAATTGTAAATATAAACTTTAAACAATATAATGTACTAACCCTAGAATTAAGATAAAACTTGTAAGCAATTTGCGAACATATCAATCATGTAATAAACCTTTTAATACGAAAAAATGAAAAAAAAATGGAAAAAAAAAAGAAACAAAAAAAAACAAATAAATAAAAAAAAATATGCAAAACAAAATTAATATAAAAAAAGACCAAAACAAAATAAAAAATATATATACATATTACATACAATATCAAAAAGTAATACAAGGAAATTAAAAAAATAAAATAAAAAAAAAATAAAATAAAAAAAATCACAAACAAACAAAAAAAGAACACTCAAAACAAGTCAATTATTTAATTTACTTTTAACTTACATTTAGTACTAACTCGAACTCTGATTGTTGTTCTGTGAATACAAATTACAAAACAGTCTGGTCAATTGGCTATGCCAAGGCCATTTAAAAAAAAAAAAGAAATCAGATGTGAACCTCAGACCGACAGAGAAGATACAAAAAAATGAAAAAAATGTTTTCACAAAGCCAAAAACAACGCCTGATAAGAAAATTTGGAGCTTTCCAGGGAAACGAAACATTTAAAGAACCTTTAACAGAAGACTGGATCAAGTGCATTTCATGTGCTGAATGGTGGCAAGAAAAGTGCAGTGCCTACGCAGGTTTTTGGATCTTATAAATGTGACCTATTTTCATAATATTACCTGCGCAATCTGACAATCCTAAATGCGTACTTTTAAAAAGCGGATTTATAAGAGTGCGCAAAAGCACTTTTTTTAGTTTTACTTTTTCTATTAAAGTAATAATGTTTAGTGCGCAAATTATAATTGATTTTGTTGTTTATGTATCAACAGGCTTAAATAAAAATAAATATATTTTCAACGCAATTGGTTTGGATTTTACAGTTGATTGAATCTCAAGTGCGCATTCTTGAATCACTCTACCTCTGATTAAATCATTGCTCAGTAAAATTTGTATCCGCTCGACGGTAAAAATTTAATATCTTTTAATTTGAGTATCCTATCGACAAAATTCAAGATGCGTTTTAAAGGGAAAGAGTGCAGCTTTTGTACGCAATTTTTGTATTTTTCCGCAAATGAAGTCAGTTTAAAAATGTGTTAAATAAACGTTGCACAATTTTTGCCATTTTTTATGATTCTCATGAGATCATGAGCTACTGACTCATGTGCTCATGAGCTCTCCAAACAAACGCTGAGTAGCCGTTCGCAAACGTTTCGGTTTGTTTTGCTTACCCTATATCTCTAGCCCTATAATTTCTATCCCTAATTTTCAAACCCTTATAGTAATACCCTATGTGGTAGACAAAATAATCGTTACAGAATAAACACTTCACACTCACATTGAAAACTATAGATTTAGCTATTTTCTTATTTTATTTTGGATTAAATAATTAAAAGGAATTTTATAAAATTATTAAATACAACTCGTAAGTTTAAGAAATAAATTTTGAACTTTGAAAATAAGGCTATTATCGAGCACAAGTTAATTAAATATAGCCCAAGTACTTTCGCTTAAAATAGCATCTTCAGGGGCATTTCGTCAAAATAAGAACTATCCGGCAAGCGTAGAATGTGGAAACATTAAAAATAACATAAATTATACAAAACACTACACTAAAACGAGGACAAACAGTTTAAAATTACTTCTACGCTACATTCTCTGTCAGTATCTGGAGGATAATGTCACGTATCAGTCGTAGATCATTATCCATCCAGATACTGACAGAGAATGTAGCGTAGAAGTAATTTTAAACTGTTTGTCCTCGTTTTAGTGTAGTGTTTTGTATAATTTATGTTATTTTTAATGTTTCCACATTCTACGCTTGCCGGATAGTTCTTATTTTGACGAAATGCCCCTGAAGATGCTATTTTAAGCGAAAGTACTTGGGCTAGATTTAATTAACTTGTGCTCGATAATAGCCTTATTTTCAAAGTTCATTTATTCGAGCATTCAACCTCATTTCATTTAAATAAATTTTGCTTTAAGGTTTTGCTAATATGAACTAGATTATTTGATGTAATATATTATTTAGTTTACTGGTAATTAAATAACACATTATGTAGCTAGAATCTGAAAGAAGATTAAAAGCTAGAAAAATTGATACTATATTATTATGTATTATGAATGATTTCTTGGTTTCGTTACGTGTTACACATACTTTTATAACTAATACTTCACTGAACACAAACATATTTTTAGCTTACCTTTTCTCCTGAAGATATAGTAACATTTATATCGTTTAAAACTAAAGATCCTTTGTTGTAAAACATCGACACATTTTTAAATATAATCTCTGCTCCGGAAGAACCCGCTTGAACTTTGTATACGCCATTTTTATTGCTGTCAGAAAATTCTTCAGTTTCAATTTTACTAAATTCGACCATTCTTTCTATACTCATGAGAAACTGTACAAAGTCCAGAGACTTTTGTGTAGCAAACTGAAGAGTACCCATTAGCTGGAATACTTGTAAAATGACAAGACCTGCGACACCTGGACTAATTTTGTGACCTGAAATTACAAAGAATCTGAAATTATATAAAATTTCTTTAATTTTTTTTATTTAAATTTTACAAAACATAATCACATTTTGTGATGTGTGATGATTAATACGATTTTCAATACACTTCGTTTGAAAATTTGTTAATATTTATTCTGGTATAATTCTAAAAAGTCAACAAAAATAATAATCACATAAGTCACAGGACTAAAAATATAGTAAAATAGAGTCAAAGGAAGATTCGACCTGAAATACTCCTTAAATACTAAATGTAGTTTTTGTAGTGTTTGTGTGTGTTTGTGTATTGTTTGTATTTGTTTTGTGTTTGTTTGTGTTTGTGTTTGTGTTTGTGTTTGTGTTTGTGTTGTATTTGTGTTTGTGTGTTTGTGTTTGTGTTTGTGTTTGTGTTTGTGTTTGTGTTTGTGTTTGTGTTTGTGTTGGTGTTGGTGTTGTGTGTGTTGGTGTTGGTGTTGGTGTTGGTGTTTGTGTTTGTGTTGGTGTTGGTGTTGGTGTTGGTGTTGGTGTTGGTGTTTGTGTTTGTGTTTGTGTTTGTGTTTGTGTTTGTGTTTGTGTTTGTGTTTGTGTTTGTGTGTGTGTATATGTGTGTGTTTTTTATAAAGGTAGAAAATACATTTACGTATCATCAGGACGAGATGTACTAGGCGGTATGTCGGACTTGTATTTTACAATACTGACTAAAACGCCTCCCCTTCTGCCTCTTCTGTTTTCCTTGCGTAACTGCCGTAAGAAACTACTTCAAGAGTGGAGGATCTAGCTATTGCACTTTCTTCAGATTGTCGAGGTTACTGCGATAAAGATCCTGGAGGACTTTCATCGCAAATGTGCTGATTGCATTCCAAGTTGTCTTTGATGAGAGCGTTTCTTCTACTAAGATCGCTGGTAGAATATTCTATTTGATAACCGTTTTCCGAGCATTGCGTAGTAAGTTAAAACAAAAATACACAAAGAATACGTACTTCACGTCTTTTTCTCGAGACAGGACGGACACTCTGTAAAATCATCACTGACTGTCCAGTTGCGGTGATCTTCATCTGCTTCTTTATTGTGGTGTCATATTTCAGTTTATTATTTTTATTTTGAATAGGGCAATATGTGACTTTAAAATAAGCTTATTTTGATGTTTAGATTTCCAATTCGGAAATCGTACTTAAAATACGAAACATTATTAAATTTTATTTACATAAAATAATTTACGAAGTGGAAATCAAAATGTTAAATTAAACTTATTTTAAAGGAAAATTGTGGCATATTTAAAGTAAAAAACAGTAAGCTGCCATTTAAATCACGCCAATTATCGCCAAAATTTGATATTGGGCGATATATAGATGGTACCATAGACATTATTCTATGGTACCATCTTCACTAATTTTTGCAATGCAATTTGTATCTCAAATATTGAATAGTGAGCGAAATAGTGAAACGCGGAGCACTCGATGCGTGGTCTACCTATCTCTCTTTAGCACCTAGCATAATAAATGCACCTCCCACTCGCATAAATGCTCCATTAGTCCTCACCTATAGTAGTTGGGTAGATCACGAGCGTATGATAGATAAAGTTTATTTGCTCATCTCAGAAATATTTTGACAGATTTATTGTCGGAAACCTACAACACAAATATTACTCCCGCAAACTGTTAACAGTTCAAATAAACTTACTATTGCAGAATTGCCGGTATAAGCAATCCCCCACTTACTGACCAACAGCTTAGGGCGGATGAGTTGGTAAGTGGTAGGGCACTCTTTTGTCCTGGGTTTGAAAAATCACTTTGTGCACTGTGGTATAGTAGCAGACGACGAATGATGCCTTAGGATATCTTCGACGTCTGGATTGGAAATAAACGCTGATCTTCGAAGTCGGTGTAATCGTTAAGATTCGACGTAAGGACGATCTTGGTTATTTGGATTAATAATGAAACAACAGTTTTACTAGGAAGCACCACTAACCAACAAGGTCTAGTAGGGCTCGAAGTGTCTGACGACTGAAGTCCCGATCGGAAGGTGCGCTGCTCTTTTATACGTTTAGTAATTGAGAACTCGCAGCGCTCTTCCGCCGAGAGGCCAATGACAGCGAAGTTAATAACGAGCGCTGTGATTGGCCGGCCAAAGTAACAATCTTTTGTCGAGATTGTGTATTTTGGCGACAATCTACTGATTCTGCATTACATCAAGTAGTGGTAAGAACTGAAAGATCGCTGAATAATAAAGAATCCACCCTAGGTATATTCATAGACATGGAGGCAGCGTTTGATTAAACCACATTACCAACCATTACCCAACAACTCAATGTCAGGAATGTTCCCTGGCTGTAAGCGAATGGATATTTAGTACGCTCTCTAATAGAGCAATAAGCATAAATTAGAAGACGTTTCTATTAGTTGGAATTCAATCCTAACATGCGACATATCAAACGAAAGAAGCGGACATAACGAATATATTTAGATAGAAAAAACAAACAAGGCAACTACTAAAAGGGCACTATACAGTATCTTCATTATTATTGGACGTATAGCGACATACGAGACCTCGTAGAGCACTATGGATAAAAATAGATTTACCATGATACAAATTTTGATTTATTGACTTACAGAAGGCCTCAGTGTGAGTACAAAATAAACAACTGATTAAATTCTAACATGCGGCATAGCAAATAAAAGGGCAGGATATATATTCAGATGGGATGCAAGGGATAGTGATGCGCCACGTATAGCCTCTCCTATCCAAATGTCAACCTCGAATGCCCACTTGATGATCTTGATTGTGATCATCCGGTGTAAGCTGCTAGATAACAAATGAGACTCTGACGTCCGAGTAATTGCTGGTATAAGCAATCCCCCACTTACTGACCAACAGCTTAGGGCGGATGAGTTGGTGAGTGATAGGGATTTTTTTTCCTGGGATTGAAAAATCGGCCCCGAAGGCGCATGAATCAACAAATAATGGTCAACGGCATAAGAATGCAGAAGGCAAAGGGCAAACCACTGCATTAACGGCTCATAGAGCACCCCCAGGAAAATCACCATAGAATTGACACTGCAATTTCAAACCGTTACTAATCAAGGAAAGCGAAGGCCAAGATTCGGCAGGAGAGGAGAAACATATTTATACCACGAGGCCTCTCAGGTCGTAAACATGCGAAAACCTCGTGAAGAAATCCTAAAAATAAAGAAATCTAATTTTAGAATGTGCACATGGAATGTTAGAAGTCTATTTGCGGCTGGGAAACTTGACAACGCAATTCAAGAAATGAAAAGATGAAAATAGACCTACTGGAATCAGCGAAATGAGATGGCCAGAGTCAGGATCATGTAAAAAGGACAGAAGTGTATTATATTATTCCGGTAACAGCACAGAAGACCCGCATCACAAAAATGGTGTAGGTATTTTAGTAACATCAGAACTGAGTAAATATGTGACCAATTTCGTACCAGTCTCAGATAGAATAATATTACTCCAAATAAATACTCAACCATTTAAAACTAACATACTTCAAATCTATGCCCCGACTGCAGATAGAAAATATGACGATGAAGTCGAGAAGTTGTATGATCAGATCCAAGACATCTTCCAGAAATACGAAGTAGATATAGTCGCTCTTGAAGAAATCAGATTTAAAGAGCATGGTGCGTAATTCAAAAAGACTACAGTTTATACTACTGTGGAGCAGAAAGACAAGTAGACTTTGGAGTATGTTTTATGGTTAACTATAAAAACCGCAGGTCGATATTAGGTTTCACTCCAGTTAATAAAAGAATATGTGAAAACGTACAAAAGGGACATGCAGTTATAGCGCTGGGTGATATAATGTCAAGTTGGAACAAGAGAGCAATATATGCAGAATCCTTTGGTAAGCTTACATGATATCACTAGTAACAATGGTATAAGAATCACACAGTTGGCAATAGCAAATAAACTCAGAGTAGTTATTACGTGTTTCGTAAAGGAACCTGGATGATACCTGGTACTAATAAATTTAATAAAATTGATCATATATTAATATCTAAGCAATGGGCAACCTCCGTAACAGATGTTAGATCAAATGGAGGCGCAAATTGCGATTCAGATCATTTCATGGGCATATCTAAGATAAAACAAAGGGTATTAATGGTAAGATACGAGAAAGGTGTCAAACAATTTTTTATGGAAAATAGCCATTATTCTAATTTTAAAAATGTACAGATATTGAAAAAGAACAAAACTACATTAAAAGATCCAGATTGGAGATGATCCACATAAAAAAGATCAAAATCTATTAACAATAAGACTGATATGAAAGATCTCTCCAATATGTATCACAATTTAGAAAATTGAGTTATTATTCTAAGAAAAACACCATGACAGATATTTAATATAAGACCCTGAACCATTCGTATTTTAACATAACTGCCAGATGTATGTAGACTCATATACTCTTTTTCACTCTATCTTAAACGTTTAAAGGGTGCAAACATAAAATATGTAATTTAATGTTTCTAAAATAAAGTGCTGATTGAAAATGGCAAATAGCCAAAACGTTTAAGCAAAAATTAAGTGTTTTGATTTTATACTGGACATTTAGAAAATACATTTTGTGTTACTTACCGTATTCGTTAAGAAGAATAAGTGTAAATATCACACCAATTAAAAATATTGCACAAATTGTATCCACAATTACAGAAAATGCAGAGGCAAATAGAACATTTAGTCGAAGGACACTTGTGTGGTTATTCTAAAACAAATAGGTTGGAAACTATATTCTTTACATCTAACTTTATATTATTATAGTTATATTATTTTATCGAGTATTTAATATATAAAAATATATCAAATATATAAAAATATTTGATTTACTTTAAAAAATCCATTAAATAAGCAATAACTAATGATGCTGAAAACCCGTATGCCGTCGCATAGGTTTTAAAAGGACTCATTTTAGCGGCATTGAAACAGTGGAGGGCGTAAGTTTATATGTATATACAGTGTAGGTAAAAATTTCTGGTCGGTATGTACCTTACTTGAGATGGAGTGAGAAATACCTATTTAAAAAGAGAGAGGTAGGTCCGCCCTTTATATCGTAGAAATAGCATTCGTGGAACTAAGAAAAGATGAGAAGTTTAACGTTGCCAAACTTATTGGTTTTATTTGACCTGTTGTCGTTTTAGCATTTTAACAACGTTCTAAGATAATCAAATTTGGGCGATGATTGGCGTGATTTAAATGGTAGCTTACTGTTTTTTACTTTAAATATGCCAAAATTTTCCTTTACAATAAGTTTAATTTAACATTTTGATTTCCACTTCGGAAATTGTGTTATGTAAATAAAATTTATTAATGTTTCGTATTTTAAGTACGATTTCCGAATTGGAAATCTAAACATCAAAATAAGCTTATTTTAAAGTCACATATTGCCCTATTCCCAATAAAAATAACAAACTGCAATATGACACCACAATAAAAAAGCGCCTTACAAAATTATTAGGCAACGTCGTGTTCTTAAAGTAAGGACACTGTAGTAACGAGAAAAACAGTAGAGGTGAGTCGTTGACGTTTTTATCGTTAACGAAACTAAACCGCTTTTCGTAAACAAGTAACAAGTTGAAAAACTAATTAAAATATTTAAGCAAGTACATAAACAAACATGCTTTCTTGAATCAAAGAAAAATATACTGAAATACTTTCAAAGGCTTTTCAAATTTGCTGTAGTTGATTTATAACTAAGTTTTTCTTTGCAAATATTGCATACAGCCTTCTCACTGTTAATGTCTTTCTCAAAGTGATGCCATAAAATACTAACATCTTTACGCGCAGACATGTTAAACACACAATTAGTTAATAAAGTAAATATTTAGTACTCACAGAATAAATTCACATTTACGTTAGACAAAACAACAACTCTAAATAAAAATTTAGTTTGCTGAATAATATCAAACGTGAATCAGGGACTCCTATGTGTTAATATTTCAAATTGAAAATAATCGATCATGACAAAATTCAGAAAGTCGAGCATAAAAGCTGCATCTTTTACAATTGTGCATTTTTTGAAAATTCAATTATTATGCAAATCATGAATGTGTTGCTTGTGTGAGTCCATTTCAAATAGGTAAAGAAATAATAAATAAGACTTACTCACAATCAATTTAATTTAACTATCAGACGACCGGTTTCGCTTTCTACAATATGCAAAGCATCTTCAGGTCTCGATACAAAGTTAAATAAATGATGCCGGTACTCTATTAATTGATGGATGGTAGAACATGGTTGAAACTATTATGTATTGTTGAATGGAGAACTTAATTCTGCTATTGTAGTTGTTTGACAGTAAACGGGAAGTTCTTGAGGAGATAGATTTGATCCAATGAAGTAGAGATATGTGTGTGATTGTTTGTTAAATGAAAGTGATGTTATATACCATTGTATTATTTAAAAGTTATTTATACTTATTCGAGAGATATATTTATGAAATGTGTGTTATTTATTGAGTATTTGTTTTATGAAGGTGACAGTTTTATGACAATGAATAAGTTTAGATGTACAAATTGTGTGGGTGTGCAATTATTTTTCAACTTGTAATTATCAAATTTCTTTGATAAAGTTCTATTGGCAAAATAGTAGATTATTGCAAAGTCGAGTAAATAAAATATTAAAATTAAAACAATTAAGGACAATTTAAACACACTAAAACAGAAAACACTTAGAAGGGACGAAACAAACATTAAATTTAAAAGGGGGAAGGACTTTTATGCACTACATCTCAGTCTTGAGCACAATGTGGCAAGACTGAGATGTAGTGCATTATTTATTATTTGCATTGCATCTCTTCATCATAATTTCACAAAATTGCATCCGTTTAAATTTATCATCAGGAAATACTTCTTGAGTTGTCTACACATTCAAATCAACTTCATCAGCAATTTGTTTACTTGAACACGGCGTCGCTTCAGCCAATGCACAAACTTGAATTTCTCTAATTTCTCGTTATTGAGAAATTTTCTTTTCGCGAGGTTGATCTGATGGGTAACATTTTGTACATCTGCTATTAGTACAGCCAAACTTTTATAATACAGTATTTTCTATAGGAATTGGCCTATTTTCAAAAGCCAAAATAAATAAATTATTGATAGTTTCTTATACTGAATTGCCCCCAAAGTACCATTTTCTTATTTGTACTCGTTCTTCTGTTGTATAAACAGTCGGTATATTTATTTCTTATTTTCACACTTACAAAGTTATCTCCAAAAAGAAATACATAACTGTCGACAGGCCGACAGCATACTTGTCAGCATCTCTCGTCTTGACGAATGGCGATGTTGCCAAAAATATCTTCTATTATTCAAAATTGGGTTACAATTTCGTCAAATAAAAATGCAAATCTGTAAATTTTTATGGATTTTAAAAATTTCAAACCTGTATTTGTGTCAATTAATGTTTTATTTTGAATATCATCATTAAGTTCTGAATGGCAATATAACCGCACCACTGAGCGCCAATTTTATAAATCAATTCAATGGTTTAACTCAAATATGTAATAAGACAACCCTGCCGCTGTTTCTTACGTATAAGCTAAGCTGGATCGGAAATTCGTAAGACATTCATTAATGGGCGTGTCTAAAAAATTTGGAGGGAGACCAAGGGAAAATATGATTTTATATCTCTGTTAGATATTCTGTTAAATTCTACCATACTTTTTTACCTGTACATAAACCTGTACATATATATATATATATATATATATATATATATATATATATGTATGTATATATGTATATATGTATATGTATATATATATATATATATATATATATATATAATATATATATATTATATATATATATATATATATATATATATATATTGTTATGATATGTAAAAACGAGAAAAATATTGGTTTGTTTAAAATATTTCAAAATTCAAAAACATTAAATAATTCAGATAAGTAGGATAATACCCAACAAACATTTCGAAGAAGGAAAGTATTTAAATTTTTGGATTACCTGTATTAAACAAAATGTAAGCTATGCATAAATTATTTCCTTTGTTATACTATACTTGAGTGACCCGCATAATTTTAAGTGAAATCCAAAGACAATTGAACCGGGTTTTTCCAAATACATTAACGCAGTGATTAAAGACAATAGAAGAGATTTGGAAAGAGGTTTTTGTTAGTTTTTAAGAATTATAGAAAAATATTATTTGTAAATAAGTTTTAGGAAATTTTATAATTATAGGTAAAAATTTGTTTGTTATCGGAATGAAAGAATGGGGAATTGTGACGAGTTTTGATTGGCGGAGATTAAAAAAGGTGGGATAGGTATGTAGGAATGAAAGTTTAGCTAGATTTCGGAGTGAGAAAAGATAGTCAGTTGGTTTCCAAGGGTGCAAGGCGAACGGCCGTTGTTCTCGGGTAGTTTCCCAGAGGTAGGAAGCAGTAGCAGTGAAAGTTTGTGAGTTTTCGTGTAGTTAGTGTATCTGACAGAAGCTGATCCAGTAAAATATTGTAAGTCATATTTTTCTACTTATATTCCAAGAGTCACTGTTCAGGCCAACGAGAGATTCAGTTTATCGTAAAGAAAAGATATTCCAAGAGTCATTTTTCACTCAGGCCAACGAGAGATTCAGTTTATTGAGAGAAGAAGAAGCTAGCATAATTTGAACGATTCGTGCATTTGAAGGAGATCATTAAGGACGAGATACTTGCAATAATTTATTGTAAGATTGCTGATTACTTAGGGAGCGGCCACGAGTAAATAGTATAGTCTACAAATAACAAGGATTTGGACCACTCATCATCAGAGAGAGATAGTTTTGTTTTCTGCAGTTTTTCTTTCATTGATAACACAATTTTTTACACTTAATTTAGAAAGGATATAAATATTTTGATTAGGAGATTTAGAGTAATACTTGGATTTTGAGATTTCAACTAATATTGTTTGTACCATTAATTTTGATTGTTCACGTACGTAGAACAAAATTTTGAGAATTATTATATGAGATTTTGTTTATTGAAAACTTTTGAGTGTGAATTATTTCATTATTTTTATTTCAATATATAGTGTTAGATCATATGTGTTTTTCATTATTCCGGTATTCTTTGGACCTTACCTTTCACATGTAATAGCATAGATATTGAAGCACGAATTTAACCCTGAGATAAAAGAATTAAAAATTGTGATAGAGGCATAATCATATCATTTAAATAATTTTAATTAATAAAAAAATTAATTAGCTAATTATTGCTTGGCGCACCAAGACGTTAAATATCACAATAATATATATATATATATATATATATATATATATTATATATATATAATATGTGAAATAACTAGTAGTCGAGAGACCTCTGATAGCAAATTAAGTGAACCGCAACTTCAAAGCCTGTTGCTAGAGGCTTTCAACGACGCTAGAAGTACATTTTTACTTCGACAAGCATCTACGATTCACCTTTGAAAATTACCATCTTTTTCACTCTTTACGTAGAGAAAGACGTTTAAATGAAAGTAAAAGATTGCATTTCATTTCGATAGGAACTCCACCGACACGTGTTTCGGGTTATTCAAGCCATCGTCAGGAGCTCTTGTGGAAGTTCAACCGAAATGAAATGCAGTCTAGTATTTGGCCATTATAACTAAAATAATAGCCAGGGTACGCTAGCAGCGACATCTATATGGAATAATGAGAAGTCAAGAGACCTCTCTGATAGCAAATTAGGTGAACCGCAAATTCAAAGCCTCTTGCTAGAGGCTTTCAACGACGCTAGAAGTACATTTTTACTTCGACAAGCATCTACGATTCACCTTTGAAAATTACCATCTTTTTTCACTCTTTTCGGTGGAACTTCCACAAGAGCTCCTGACGATGGGTTGAATAATCCGAAACACGTGTCGGGCTATGGTGGAGTTCCTATCGAAATGAAATGCAATCTTTTACTTTCATATATATGTATATATATATATATATATATATATAATATATATATATATATATATATATATATATATATATATATACTCTTTTCTTTTCTTTTTTTCTAATGTAAAATTTTTTATGTTAATTTTTAATATGTTTTGAAAAAGAGTAAAATAAACTCGAAAGCTTAGCAAACCTAAAAGAGTTTTACTTAAAGGCCAATATATTGACTACTAAACCCAATATATCCGTATATATATATATATATATATATATATATATATATATATATATATATATATATATATATATATATATATAAATATATATGTGTGTGTATATACAGGGTGTTTCAAAAAAAGGTAACCCCGTCTCTAGGGTAGGTAAAAAACTGAAAAATAATTGGGGTTTGCTTAGTAAAAAATTTTTGTAACGCCATTCATTTTCAAGATACAGGGCGTTAAAGAAAAAAAAATTTTACGCATTTTTTACGATTTTACCGAAACTTCTGGCAACATTGTAATGAAATTTTATACGAATATGTTTTGGAAGCTGATACATATATATATATATATATATATATATATATATATATATATACATATATATATATATATATATATATACATATATATATATATATATATATATATATATAATATATATATATATGTATATATATATATATATATATATATATATATATATATACAAAAATGTCAGAAATGTGTGTATAATAAGTAAGTGTTTGTGATTGTAAAGCAATTTTTAAAAATTTTGAATATAGGAATAAGTTTTATGTATAAATATGACAGACTGTGATAAGTTTTATCGACATTGTAGAAAATCATTGATGATCCAACCTCGTTAAGTTTCTCCCTGATGAAGGACATAACCATGTCCGAA